CATTTCTTGATTATTTATACTTCACTTTCTATCAGAGAAAGGCAAACACGGTTTCAAAATCCAGTTTCTGTTCAAAGAAAGTACTCCTAGTCTATTTGCTGCTGACTAACAGAAACTGTTAATGGCTAATAGATCTCTCGGATTATGTTCTATTTGTATAAATAATATTTAAGAAAAATTCGTTTTAGTGTAAAATTTTTCCTGTCTGATAGTCTTATGTAAATTTAAAAAGAAACTTCGGTTTTAATAAATATAAAATAAAAAAAATGAAGTGTATTTCAAAATCGAATATTGACTGTATACAAGGCAACTAAAAATTAAAACAGTATTCGACTTTCAAGTACGTTAAATAATGATTTACAAATAAGAAAGGTAAACAAGTATTTTACAACTTATAATTAACAAAGGAATTATCCGAATTGTAACCCGCCGTTTGAGCTTGAAATTCCATTATTTGATTTATCAATAAATTCCTAAAAAATGAATACAAAAATTCTGCAAAACATTCATAACTAAGCTTCAGAGATTAATGAACACGAATTCTTTTCAGAACTTTTCTAGTGTTACCGAATCTGAATATTATGTGTTTTTTTTTCTTTTAGTTCAATCACCATGTATTCCACCAAATTTTGGTTCGGATACATTTGAACCATTACTTGTCTCATCGGATGATAATTCTTCTGAATCATCATCAGTTACAAAGAATACAAATATACATACATCATCAGATAAACTTTTATTATCAAATCCATGTTTATCAAGAAAAAATTCTTCATCATCATCTTCTCTATCGTCATCTTTACAAATTCCAACAGTAACAATGACGAATATCGATGAGAAGAAAACAGATTCAATTATAACAAGTACACCTACAACAACAACAACAACAACAACAAAACATTATAAACAACGAAGAACATCTGGTAAATTACTTGAACAACAAAATGCTAATGATAGTGGTGATGATAATCAACAACAACAACAAAAAAGTAAAACTCGTCATCATCACCATCATCATTATCATCATAAAAAAGTTCGAAATCCTCGTATTTTATCACCACTTGAACCAAAACCATCATTAACATTACCAATACAAACAACAGGTCTAAACCTATCTTCAAATTCTAAATCACAAGATCTTATGCAATCAACAAAATTAAATAATTCGTCAACATCATCTCAAATGACACCACCATTTTTACTATCAAATGATAATGAATTTAAAAAATCTGCTTCATCACATTCACTTATACCACCATTAACAACAAAAATAAATTCATCAATGTCAACAACTAATTCAAATAAACCGGTGAAATATAACAGTCAACAACAACAGCAGCAACAACAGCTACAACAACAACAACAACGAAATTTTCCACGATCACTTTCAAAATCATTTTCATCATCATCATCATCATCATCTCCACCACCAATATGGTTTAATCATCCAGTAAGAATATTTTTCTTATTAAATAAAATATAACTTCTATCTGTATTAAAATATAATGAAAATAATAACTTTTGATGGAAATGATGTAGAGATCTAACATTTTCACCGTTCTAGAGAAAACACATAGGAACATCAAAGTTAGTCGAAATCTGATTGATCAATCAGATTACGATTTACTTTAATGGCCTCAGATATTTTTCCTTGAATGATGAAAATTCTCGAGCTCTACGTTATTTATTACAAATACATTCGTATTTATTATATTTTGATTTCAATAATGATTATTCCTTTCATAGGATGATCGTTCTTATCGTCATACACAACGTCATAATATGGCTGTATCACCACTTGAACGTGATACAACTCTTAAAGCTCAACAACAAAATTCATTTTCATCATCAACCATATCACCTATTTATTCAATAACAAATAATCTTCGACCACCAATTATTATTCGTCGTGGTCCACGTAGTTTTGGTTTTACATTACGTGCTGTTAAAGTCTTTCATGGAAATACAGATTATTATACAACACAACATGTTGTTGTTGCTGTTGAAGGTCCAGCTGAAGAAGCTGGTTTAAGACCAAATGATGTTATAACTCATGTTAATGAACGTCCTGTTGCTGGTCTTATACATCCTGAAGTTGTTAAATTAATTTTAAGTGGTTCACCTAAATTATCTATACGTGCTATACCACGATCTGAAACTCAGATACGTACAGGTGGACGACGTCGTTCACCATCAAAACAAAAAATACGTTATCAACAACAACAACAACAATATGATAATAAAAAAAGTCAAACAAATAATACTTATCATCAACCATATTGTCAAAAATATCGAATGAATTCATTAGGAGCTTCAACAAATATAAATTCGAATACTAGTAATGCAAATAATTTAAATAAAAAACATCCACAAAATAATTCATTATTTCGACGTTTAAGTGAAAGAAAAGTAGCTCGTGATATGGAAGCAGCTGCTGCTGCCGCTGCTGGAGTATCATTAATCATTCCAACAACATTAACAACCAATACGCATACGAATAATACATTAACAACAACAAATACATCTATATTATCATCATCTTTACCATTACTTTCATTTAATCAATCAACAAATGATCAAAATAATGATCGATCATCAACAAAAACATGCAAGCAAGTTCGTCCAAATATTCTTGATTCATCTGAATGGCCACCACTTCAAGCACCACTTAAACCACCAACACCTACGGCTAGTGAACCAGATTCTCCGCAACCAACTTTATTACCATCAATTGTTAAACAAAAATCTCAAGTATGTATATATTCAACTATGCTCAGAATTGATCATATACCAATACTCAAAAAAGGCTCGAATATTGTATTTCGACATTTTATCCTTTCCAATCGAAAAACATATTTGAAAAATATTTTTGATGAAGTTTTACGTCACTTTGAAAATAGTACAACTTCTCTGTCAAAAGGATAAAATACAAGATTTTAAATCTTTATACATTCGTGAACTTTTGCATAGCAGTGGAATTGATCCACATCATTTTTAGTATTTAATAAATAGAAAGAAGAATAACCATGCTTTTCAGCTACTTTGTGATATGAAATGTTGCCGAGCGGTAAATTCAATAGTCTAAAAAGCTTCCTTGCAACAATGACTAGATGTAGCGCTGGATAGAAGGCTATCCTGATGCAAAATTTTTACGCTCAATCTCTTAAACTTTCCCAGATTCTTGCAAAACTCATATTGTCGAATTTTGATCTGAAACTTTATGCATTTAGAGAATTCGACTTGACTAGCTTCTATAAACAAATACAGAAGTTTTACACAAAGTCTCTTCATATCTTTATGATTTTTATTAGAACACTATATGGTATCTATAGATAAAGAAACCATTGAAATCGGAATAAGGCATCTGATGAGGTTCCCTCGTAAGCCATGGCATTTCAGAATAAATAGTTAATATACAGAGTAGATAAACTATGAAAGCAAGGCAAACTTTTGACAAAAATTGCAACTCATCTTAACATATCAAAAAAATCAAGGCGAACGGTTAAGTATATGATCAATTTTGAATGCCACTGTAAAATGTCGATGAATAAACCTTTTATTCTCTATCGTTTTTCTTTTTAAGATTTCGGTATCACCTTTGGCTAAATGTCCACCATCATCAAATAGTGGCTTATCAATACCGAATCAACCCACACATTCTTCTCTTTGTAAAACTTTATCTGAGCCACCAATACTTTCTCGCCATGCTAGTTATGTTCCATATCCGGTAAACAATAATGAAAACGTCGACAACAACATTCAGAATGATCAATTCTGAATGTCTATGTGTGCGCGCGCACATGCTTTGCTTCAAAACATGCAATTTTCTAAAAAAAAAAAAAGAAGGACAGCCAAGTCCTCACGCTTGTGTGAATGTGTTATGTACATAAACTTATATCTATGTGTGGGTTTGATTCTTTTCTTGTCTCTCTTGTGTTTTGATCAACCAATATTACTACATGCGCACATTGTTCATACAATATTCGACTGATGCAATTCTAACACAAGGTAACAAACTTGCACGTAATTAATCATATATAGTTTTTTTTTCTTTTGAAACTCTTTTGCTTTCTTTTTTGATAAGAAAAAAAAGAAAATCTTATGATTTATTTTTTTTTTGCCCTTTTTTTCTAGTCACAATCAATTCCTAATGAACATAATCATACACAAAATTATTTCTATGCACCAATGACTACCACACATAAGAAAAAAGTTTTTTATAAAAAACCAGTGACGATTTCTGCTCCGATCGATTCATCATTTATAGTGGAAAATAATTTCAATCCAAATTTATATTATATCGATAATGTCTATCATGATCAAGGAACTCGTTCATCATCGACAGAATCATCAACGAGTTCAACATCGACACTTAGACATGTCGATTGTTATTTCTACCCCGGTCGTTATTCTTAAGAAATTTTTCTATCGACGTAGATAGGTTTTTTTTAAATGTATATATACATATTATTGTGTGTGTGTAACTAGAGTAGCCTTGTATATACGTTTTTTTTCCTGTTTTTTTTTTCTTTTACATGTGTCTTTCAAGTAAACTGTCTCTTTCTTTTCTCTTAGCACCAAAAAAAAACTCGCCCAATAATCACGCCGCTTTTATTATTGTCCAAAGGACTTTCTCATATGATTTCGACTATTATTGCATTTCTCTTGATGATGATGATTATGCTGGTTTTTGAAGTGTGATTGGGGGTGAATAGAAATAAATACATGAAAAAAAATAAGATGCGCGCTCGTATACATATATATATAAATATATATACATATTTCGTTCATTCGGTGTTTCATTTTTTTGTGTCTTTTCCCCGTTTTTTTGCTTCTACGACTGTGTACATTATTATAAACATGTTTTTTTTGTTCCTTTTTCTCGCTTACAAAAAACAGATGAATTATAAAAAAAAAAAAAAACCAACAACAATTAAAAGAATGCTTATATAAACTGAGTACAGTGCCATTCGATAGATAACTTTAGTTTTAGATAATTAGAAATATGGTTCGTTTAACACCGATATTACGATGGAGTGATTATTTTAATTTACCAAAACGATATGTTGAACGAGCTAAATTCAAAGGAACAGTTATTGGTAATACAAAAACTAAAAAAGATTTCACTTGCGATACGGTATTTCTTTCGAGAGTATACCGAAGTTTACATTGAAATGGAATGAAAATTTCAGAGCTTGTCTATGGATTCAAAAAGCTTTGAAAACTTAGGAAGGAAGTAGGTTCGCTTACCCAGCCAAAATGAGCCTTGTCTAATTCTACTATTTCAAATGATAGAAGTCGGAAAATTCTATCATAGATACTAGTCGTTGAGATGTTCATTTTTTGTAGCGGACACTTTTTTCCTTGTCTTCTGTGTTTTTGAGGCAATTACCATAGGAAATACTAAATTTTGACGTTTCATAGACTTAAATATCTCTGTGAAGTCTAGATAGAATTTCAATTTTTATTAGTATTCGAGAATTGTCTAACTGTTCTTTATCTAACACCGAAACTTCCAGATCTGTAGCGTCTTCCAGGATCGAATGATAATATCATCTTTGAGACCTGTTTTCGCAACTTTGCACCTCCTTCAGGAAAAATTATAGGATTCTCAAAAACCTGTCCTATAGTAGAACTTCATTAGTACATCCAGCTCTATCATTTCTAAAATTTTCGTGTTCAACCAATGCGATTTGATCGAGAAAAGCAATTGTAACAGCTATAAATCATTTCTTTCAAAAAACTTCAAGATTAATTTTCTCGATCAAATTGCATTGGTCAAAAACAAAAATTTCAGAAATGATAGAGTTAGATGTGTTAATGAATTTCTACTATAAGACAGATTTTAGGAATCCTGTGGTTTTCTTGAAGGGATGCAAACTTGCGAAAAATTCGAAAGTAGATCTCTAAGACAGCTTTGCTGTTCAATCCAGAAAGAAGCTCCTGGTCTGTGAGTTTCAGTATTAAATAGAGGACAGTTAGACAATTCTAGAGCATTAATAAAAATTGAAATTCTCTTTGGACTTCTCAAAAATATTCGAGCCTACGAAACGTCAAGGATTAGTATTTTCTATAGAAATTGTCTCGAAAAACAGAACAAGGAAAAAAAACGTCCGCTACAAAAAATAATCATCTTAATGACTAGTATCTATGATAAAATTTTCTAATTTTTATTATTTGCAATAGAAGAGTTAGACCAGATTAATTTTGACTGAGTAATCGAATCTGTTCCTCCCTCGATTTTCAAAGTTTTTTGAACCTATAGCTATGCTTATAGACAGGAGTCTTACAAACTCTGAAATTTTCACTTCGTTCCGATAAAGTCGATGTAAACTCCGGTACACTCTTGAAAGAAATATCCGATATAGAATCGAAAAAATGAAATTTATTTTTCTTTTTTCTATATTTCTAGAGGGTAACATGAATATTATACCACATAAAACAATAAAGTATAATGACCCATGGGTATATACAAATGATCCACCTTGGACTGATCTTGCTCAACGTAAAAATGATCCAAGACAAGGACATCAACGTCCACAGCTTATTGAACCATTAAAAACTTGGGATTTTTTTCGTGGAGATATGGTATGTTCTAATCTTGAATTTTTATTATTTGATTTTAAATATATATAGGTTGAAATTATGGTTGGTAAAGATAAAGGCAAACAAGGAAATATTGCTGCTTATATTCGTGAATTAAATGCAGTTTTTGTATCCGGACTTAATTTAGTAAAAACAAAAAGCGAAATTTTTTTTTTTCTATGATTCAGATTTTTAAATATTTTATTTCTACATTAGGAAATTCAACGAATAAGTGGTGGTGCTATTGCTTCTAGTTCAATTGCTATAAAAGAAAAACCACTTATAGCTCCACATCAAGTAAAATTAATTGATCCATATGATGGGTTAGTCATATGTTTTAATTTGATTGGCTTTTTTTTTGTTCATATTTATATTTTTTAGAAAACCATGTACTATTGAATGGCGTTATACAGCTGAAGGTGAACTTGTACGTGTATCAACTCGATCTGGTCGAATTATTCCAAAAGCACCTGCATGGGAAGAAAGTCACGATTATGCAAAAAAATCTACTTATAAACGTAAAATGAATTAATTTTTATCAAATTTCTTTTTTTTGTTTTACTGATTATTTTTTCTAGCCGGTCCTGATGATACGATTGATGCTGAACTTAAACGTGTTACATTTGAACCTAAATTAATGACAGTTGCCGAAGAATTAATGAAAGCTAATGGCATTGTAGAGACTAGAAAACGTGGTCCTGTTTATATCTATTAGTTAGAAAAAATAAATAAATAAATTTAACATTTCGTTATTCAATAGAAAAACGAATCAGATCGTATTTGTTTTTTAATTTCAGATTATAATGAATAATTTATTTGCATTAAAAACTTCATTATTAACAAATATAACTAAAAATGTTCTCAATAGTATATTACCCATACAATCTGTACGAACAGCTTTTCTGTATGAATCAAAACATCGAGTTAATATTATGAAACGTATGGCTGTTCATGGTATTCATAATCAATTAGGGCGTAAAAAAGGTCAAGTTTATTTATGGGAAAAATTAATTCGTGGTGAAGAAGTTATTGTTGGTAAGTAAGAACGATACAAAAAAGACAAAATATTTTTCTTTCTTTTAACAATATATTTTCTTTTTGTTTTTCATTTTCTTAGATGCACCATTCTATCCGTTTACACAAGCAGCTAAAGCTGCACAAAAATCTTATTGTGAAATAAAAGACAAATATAAACCACTTAAACCAGTACGAATACCACGACCAGATCCATGGCTTGATCGAAAAAGTTTCAAACATACAAAAAAATTTTAATTATATTTTGTGTTGATAGTTTAATCTTTCAAAATAAAAACAAATGTTAAATTAGGATATGAACGATTTTAGACAAAACAAGACATACACACCTTTCATTTAACTTTGATTTTTTACCAGTGTTATTTTTCTGTACAAGTTCTTTTAGCATAGACATATGTAAAAAAACTGTTAGCACAATCCTTGCCGGATTAAAATGTGAAACATAATATAGCTACTATTGCTAATCACAGGAAGATTATTAATTAAAATTAGCTGATTAATTAAAAGTAATTAGTGAATATCATTTTAACCACATGAGAAAAGTAATTTACTAGGTTGCCAAAAATGTTTTGCCCGGGGAGTACAGCGTCAACAGCAAATGATATCAACATTGAATTTTATACCAAATGAAAGCCCGTCAAAAATGGGATTTATCCATATGAATGAATAAGGGTTAAAAAGTCTTTTCTCTATCAAACTTTGATAATTTCTAAAAATGCATGAACCACAATCATAGTAAAACTTTCTTTTATCATAGAGAATGTTTTGATATGGCTGTAGTTCATGCCTTTTTAGAAATTATCAAAGTTCGATAGAGAAAAGTCTTTTTAATCCTTATTCATTCATATGGATAAATCCTATTTTTGACGGGCTTTCATTTGGTATAAAATTCAATGTTGATATCGTTTGTTGTTGACGCTGTACTACGGGACAAAACATTTTTGGCAACCTAGTACAAATTTCAGCATACATTACGGCACGAATCGCATCTATGGTGAAATTTCTAGCAAGATCGGGCTTCAAAACAACTTTCTCTAAAAACAAAACCAATTTTCTAGAGATCCTATCAAATTCCCAAACAAAAGTTTTTGATTTAGCATGATTTAGAAATTTTGAAAAAGAGTTTGTACTGCTTTTTTCAGAATATCTAGAGTAACTTTAACATACATATAGCATATAAGAATTAATTCTACTAAAGTTCATTGTTACAGGATACATGGGCTTCAATTTAGCGAAGTTATTTTGCTAACAAA